CATTAATGTTGGAATTGTTTTCTTTTGTTTCTTCGAGAACTTGTGAGGAAAAAAAAACAAGAAAAAAAAATGGGCTTTTTTTAAAAAAAACACAGATCTTACGGGATAGAAACATAGTGAAATGGTTTTCCATCTCTTTTCTATGACAGGCATTGCCGGTAAAGGGGCAAGCTTTGAGAGGAGCACTCGATCACCCTTTGACTTGGTCGGACTGTGGGTTTAAGATACCTTTGGAACTTTTCTTAAAGTATTAATAACGAATTCGTGGATAAGACTCTCCTTTGGACTATGGATGGGAGCACACTGTGCGGCGTAAACAACAAAGGAATATTGATATATGCCTCGTCTTTCTCTTCTCTAAGGGAAGTATGGCCTGGGATGCGCCTTGATCATTGGAAGGGGCACTGCTTTTTCATTGTGCGGGCCGCACAGCGGTGCTATTGCTCACTGTCATCAAGGGATGGTGACGGGCTACGTGTATGATGCGACGCACTCTGGTTGAGGCGGCGCCCACACTTTAGCAGCAGCAGCAGCAGCAACTGTTGTTGTTGTTATTGTGGGTGGTAATTATAATGGAGAGAGAGAGATGCGGAGAGAGACATACCTGTTGTGCGCTCTCCGCCTTGCTCAGCNGTTATTGTGGGTGGTAATTATAATGGAGAGAGAGAGATGCGGAGAGAGACATACCTGTTGTGCGCTCTCCGCCTTGCTCAGCCCTTCCTCCTTCTATCGTCTTTTGTGCCTCCCCCGCGTACGCGTTGCCGCGAGAAAAAAAAAGATCCAGGTAAGCAGCGGGTGTACGGTGCCATTGCATTTACTAAAGCTGAGTGTTTTTTTGTGTTTTGTTTTCGCGAAGAAAAAAAAAAGGAAAGGAAAACAACAACAAGAAGAAAAATGATGCAGCAACAGCAGCCGATCATTGTCCTGAACCAGAAGACGGAGCGCCAGAGTGGGCGCAAGGCGCAGATGAATAACATCGAGGCCGCCAAGGTTGTCGCCAGCCTCATCAGCAGCACGCTGGGGCCGTGTGCGATGCTCAAGATGATCCTTGACCCGATGGGCGGCACTGTGCTGACGAACGACGGCAACTGCATCCTCCGCGAGATCGATGTCGTGCACCCGGCGGCGAAGCACATGCTGGAGCTCGCGCGCGCGCAGGACGAGGAGGTTGGCGACGGCACCACCTCCGTCATTGTGCTCACGGGTGAGATCCTGAGCATGCAGCAGCCGCTGCTGGAGCGCAACATCCACCCACTGAAGATAGTCAAGGGGCTCTCCCTCGCTCTGACGGACGCGCTTGCGGCGATTGAGAAGATCGCGACCACCATCGACCCCAGCGACAAGAAGCAGCTGGAGAACGTGGTGCGTGCGTGTCTCGGCACAAAGTACAACTCCCGCGAGGACGATCTCATGTGCAAGATGGCCGTGGAGGCGACGCAGCGGGTGGTGGTAGTGAACGCGACAACAGGGCAGAAGGAGGTGGACATCAAGCGTTACGCCAAGGTAGAGAAGATCCCTGGTGGCTCCGTCTCGGATAGCGTCGTGCTCGATGGCGTCATGTTCAACAAGGACCATATCCACGCCAAGATGCGGCGCCACATCGAGAACCCGCGCATTCTGCTGCTCGACTGCCCGCTCGAGTACAAGAAGCCGGAGACGACCATCAACGTCGAGGTGGGGCAGTCAACGGACTGGGAGGCGCTGCTGAAGCAAGAGGAGGACTACGTACGGATGCTCTGCAACACCATCATCTCTTTCAAGCCGGACGTCGTCATCACGGAGAAGGGCGCCTCCGATCTTGCAGCGCACTTCCTGTACAAGGCGAACATCACATGCATCCGCCGCCTGCGCAAGACCGACAACAACCGCATTGCCCGCGCAACGGGAGCGACGATCGTTAGTCGCGTGGAGGAACTGACGGAGGATCACATTGGGCGCGCGGGCCTGATGGAGATCAAGAAGATCGGTGACGAGTACTTCACCTTCATCACTGGCTGCAGCACCGGCAAGGCGTGTAGCATAGTGTTGCGTGGCGCCAGCAAAGACACACTCAACGAGATGGAGCGCAACCTGCACGACGCCATGTGCGTGGCGCGCAACATCATCCTCGAGCCGCGCGTGGTCTACGGCGCCGCCGCGCTGGAGATGTACGTCTCGTCGTTCCTCATGCAGCGCTCCAAGAGCATCACGGGCGTGCAGCAGGCGGCCTACCAGGCCGTTGCCATGGCGCTTGAGGTGGTGCCGCGCATCCTCACCAGCAACTGCGGCGCCAACGTCATCCGAACCGTGACGGAGCTGCGCGCACGCCACGCGATGCCCGACGGCGAGTTCTGGGGCGTTGACGGCACCACTGGCGAGATTGTCGACGCGCGTGTGCTGAATGTCGTGGAGCCGGCGGCGGTGAAGGTGCAGGCGCTGAAGACCGCCATCGAGGCGGCGTCGATGATCCTGCGCGTCGACGACGTCGTGTCGGGGACGAAGCTGCGGCACGAGAAGGAGAAGCCGGCGCCGGCCGCTGCTGCTGCGAACGACGACGACCAGGGCGGCGACGCGGCGGCCGAGTAGGCGCGGAGCAGCCACAACGACGGCGGCGGCAGCGCGATCACACACACACACACCACTCACAGCCAGACGCCTTGTTTATTTAATTCCCACTTCGCCTTTTTGTTTTGTTTTTCCTTTCGGTCTTCGGCGGGTCGGGCGCTCTTTTTTTTTCCCCCTTCGCCCCTGGCCGGGGGGCAACGAAAACAAAAACAAAAAAAACGTGCGGGAACTTAATTAAGAAAAGAAATAAAAAATGAATGAATGAATGAGAGGAAGAAGAAAAAAA